TTTAGTGACACCAAGGGAAAACCAAGCTTAATCTATATAAACTTTATATGTTCGAAGTCCGGATTTTCCTTGTTGATTCTTATTCACACTGACATAGCCTGTAAGTGCAAGTTGTAATGATTATTTATGAATTGGCATCGATATACTTATGATCTAATCATTTCTTATTTAATTTCTTTTTCTTTAGTTAATAGTCGTTTATCAAAATATTATAATACTATAATTTACAGTATAGTCGAAATACTTAAAATAAACTATTCATTTTCATTTAATATGTATTAAATTAGTCTACTGTATAATAAGATTATTTTATTGCTATATCCGTCAAGTAATTATCTAAGTGCACAATATGATTTCCATTTTTTTCAATGAAGTTAATGTCATTCCCATGTGCTGCTACTGTGCGAGTGACATCAACTCTGGTAAAGATAACTTGCAGTCGTATAATTGTTGTTTCCACCTCTACAGTAAGTAATCAGTTGAAGGGTAGAGACGCAAATTCATCATGTGAATTTATCTAGCTGTCAAGTTTATAATTACCTCTTTTCTTTTTTAGGTTTTTGTTCCTGATTTGCGCGATAACATCTCATAGCTATCTAAAAAAAAATTCTTTATTTGTTACAAAATGGAAAGTTTCACATGATTTTATCAATTAATTTATAAAGAGTATAATGCAATTTGAAAAATATATAGATCGCTAAATTGATATAAATAAATTGAATCTAATGAAGGATCTAAGAGCACAATGACTATTAAAAATTGCACTAATAATTAAACATGATGAGCAGCGAAATACCAATTATTTATAATGAAATATTCTTATTTAAATCAATTTATATGTCTCGTAAGAAATCAAGTAAAAATTAAAAGAAGCACTAAATCCAGATAATAGACTAACTAAAAAGCTAAAAAAAAAAGGTTCAAGTATGATTTAACGTACATATTGCATAAGGCAAAGTATGTACATAATGATAATTATTATATCTTAGATTCAAAATAAGTCAACCAATTATAATAAATTCTAAAAAGGCTTGGTAATCTGGAAATACCAGGAACAGAGTGATATTGAAAATTTCACGTACATCGCAAAGTTGTTTTTATGTAAAGTTATGTAGAATTTTTATGTAAAACTATGAAAATTTTTATGTAGCTTTACAAACCTTTATAAACCCAATATAGAGTTTACATATCAATTTATATAAATCTATATATATTTCTATGTAGAATTATGTAAAATAGCAAAAAATTTTTAACTTAAATATTAAAGCTAGGATTAGATTTTAAAGTTTAAATTAGGGGTTTGGGAGGTTTTCGACTATTCTGAACATTTTTACTTAGTGCATTGATCGGTGATTACCTTAGTCACTTTTGAGAAATAGCCGAAGTAAATTAATTTATTTTTATATAAATATAAATAAAATTTATATAGATTTATATTTATATAAATAATAAATAAAATTATATATAAAAATTACATAGTTTACATATAAAATTTCTTATTATATAAGTCTACATTGGGTTTGTAGATCTATATAAAAATTTTATATATAATTTTATAGAATTACATAAAGTTTATAAAAAAACAACTTTGCGATGTAGTGTATGGTTATACGACAAATTAAATGGCGTTCGTACGCAAAATCTTGCATTTTATTGGGTATATGCATATGGCGAAGCAAAGGTGTGAATGCATATTGAACCGTAGCATGTTACATCTTCGCATCGATGTAACATTTGCACCTGAATTTTGTGTCGCATGAAGTTGTTAGACTAACTTTTAATGTGCAATACCTAATTCGGTAATTTATTTTCTCATGGTCGGATCTTGATTGCCGTTGTACCATTCTGTATGTAGATTCTGGAGATCCGATTTCTATTTCTGTATTATTGATTTTGATCTACCCTGCCATTACCTATAGCACAGTAGAACAACTCTCGTAAAATTATAATTTAAAATTTTTCTAGATTGTAAGAAAATTTCTTTGCTAAAACAAAAAGCTTGTTTCTTGTGTAATATTTTTACGATAGAAATTTTGAAATCTGTGCTAAGCTATGTTGATCTCTAAATCTAATAATATGGAAGACCAAAACAGTATGGTAAAGGTATAGAATAACTATTTAAAAAACCATATATACCATATTAATCCCTGATCACTATGCCAAGATCACGGGGCATTATTATTACTTATTAATTAAAGGATCATTTATATTAATATTTCTGTATGTCTTGACGTTTTAAAATTATTAAAAAATGGAATTTTTCATTGCTACTCATTGTTAGGAAAAACAATAAAGACATTATACTAATTTATCAGTTAGGATCGTAATTTGAACCTGAACTGACTGTTATGAGATCGAAGACTGAAAATTTATTAGTTTCGAAGACCGATCTTTCATTATTTGTCACGATTAGTTGTTACATGTTTTTAATTATTTTATTAATTAACTGTATATATTATGACAAATACAATCTTAATCCTTTATGTTAATTACTAAATATAGTGCTAATTTGAACTTATTATGTAAAAAAAAGTACCAAATGAACAAATTACGATATTTACCTGACAAATCAGATTCGTTTTATTCCGAACACGGTTGAAATTTTACTAATATAGATAATTATGGTTTTAAGTTATATCTTAACTACGAGACCAGCCACCCAAAACCACCCCTCCACGTTATATACATATTACACAAACCCATATGTTTATACGATTGTTGTGTCACGCATCAATGCATAGCAAAATAAATCAAAAATCTAATCTATATTAATGTTAAAAAATTGATAAGGCTTAATTTTCTGTATAATAATCATTACTAAAAATGACAAAGAATGGTGAATTACCTTTTCCTTATATGGCTAATTAAGTTAATAATAAAACTACACCTTTCTTTATCATATCGAACATTCAAATCTAACCACTATTCAGATCTTCCGTTCCTGGTTTCGCGCGATGACGTCGCGCAGCTATCTAGTGTTCAATAAGCTTGTTGATTATTATTTAATCAGCTCAGAAAATCGACCATCAATTGTGGTTTTTAGAATCGATCCCCATCCCTATTTATGAACTTTTTTTGCTGTGTTTAATCAAATTCTCTAGAAAGAATGGTAATTTTTATAGTGAGAGAGCAAGTAATAGTTATATCTTGGCAATTGAATATAAGAAAAATATTGTGCATTTGATGTAGTAACCAATACTTTTTTAGTAAAATATTTATGACATGATCGTACCAGGTGTTTATTAATTTTCCCATCACTTCGCTATTGGAAGTATCATAAAATTGATTTTACTTCGGCATATGAATAGTAACAAGGATGTAGATCATTATTTCGGTATTTTTAGGATAATTTTCTTATGATTGGTCAGTCACTTTCCAGTTTAAAGCACTTTTTTTTTTAAGAATGTAATATTCCATAATTTGTAACGTATAATGATTTGTATATTGTATTGTAATTTATTGTGTTTAGTATTCTTACAATTTCAAAAAGTGTTTTTAAAAAAAATAAAATAAAATAAATAAAATTGAAAATAAGAAAATAATTTAAACAAATAAATAAAATAAATAAGGAAGTGAATGGGAAAAACAGAATTCCTATACTATTCAATGTAATTTCATGGTTTTTATCTGATTTTTTTTTTTATGTAGTAAAAAAACAATCTGGCATTATTCAATTTTAATTTATTTTGATTCGAAAACAAGTCTAAGATTCGCATCGTTATTTAGCTATAACGGTTCCTGCGTATTACTAGGCGCAGGATCCGGAAAGCGGGAATAAAAAAAACATTTTAAAATTTTATTTATAGGCAAGAAATTTAGCTTATTTGCAAAAAAATTGTAAATTTAGAAAGTTTTGAAGATAATTTAGAAAAAAAATTCTTTTATTTTTAGAAGTTTTTATATTTACATTAAAATTTACAAAAATTTGCATTCTCAGATTCCCAGATTCCCATGTATGTGACACTAGTTCCAAATTTGTTGTCAACTTTCCAAACTAGTTGATCTAAAAAAAAATTTAAACTAATCAATTAATTATATAATTAACTATTAAATCAAAAAAATCAACGCAGATTAGTTTAACTAAAAAAATGGTATAGAATTGTACTAGTAATGATACTATATGGTTGACAACTAACCAACTCGGAACACTATGTGACACATGAAATTTGATGGTCACGGTAATTTGAAAAGTACGTACGATAAACAATATTTCTATTGTACTACTTATTTAATAAAATTTGAGGCGTGGCTTTATTGTTAACCCAAAGTAACACTTGACAAATGCATTTAATAGTATGTATGCATAATAATCTAAAGCCTAATACAAAGGTTGCGCAAAATTAATTTACCATAATATCTGACAAGACAAAAATTAACACTGACATAATAAAGCAATATAACAACGAATACTTATTTATTAAGCCTGTCCTCCTACGATAAACAAATCGTTATTATTCATTTCTCAATATTTCTTTCCAAGGCTTGGCTATATTTATGGATTACTCTATATTGTTTCAAAAAAAGCCCTATTTAATTGGGAGATATCACAAATTTACCGTTAAATACCTGTTACTAGTATTATTAATTACGATATTAGTTATAAATTTAAATAAATCCTATATAATTTCAATTTCTTCTCAGATTCAAATAACCATTAAACATAAAACAAATATCAATAATAATAACCATATAATAGTTGTCATTGATGATGAGCAACATGCAACCCATCTGCAGCCTATTTATTGCAATCTACATAAAAAAGCGAAAAATGTATACACGCACGTAATAGTTACTGGTCGTGGAATAAGCGGTAAAGAATTAACAAAGTCCAATTCACTATTTTCAAATTGTGATGTATCTGTATATGACCTAAAGATTCAGAAAAGCAATGAAAATATCTTAATATCGGTTGTCAAAGAAATAACTAGTGTGTTGGATCAAATTCGGCCTGACGTTTTGATTTATATAAATGACCCTATAAATGAAGCAATGCGTGGTGTTGACGCTGCGTTAGTTACTGTTTCTCAAACAAATCGTCCCATTGCAAAGATTGCGATACCTATTGAACATACGAAACATATGATGTGGTTAACTGATTTATCTATAGAGGCGCTTAAAAGTATGTATTACTACTGTATTAATCACTCTTTTTTACTGTATCTGCCTTATATTTTATATATAATGTCTAACCATTATACCGCAGACTGGAACACTCCAAACATACAAATACAAGTTATTACTCAAGACCGTCCTTTTTCTCTTTCACGCCTTATGAAATCTATAAATTCGTCTATTTATTTCAATGACGATGTACATCTCACTATAAACTTAGATCGAGGTGCTGATCCTATAACCGTAAAAAACAGCCAAATATTTAACTGGCCTTTTGGTAAAAAAAGCATTCGATACCGCATACAACAAGGCGGTTTGATTAATGCCGTGGTGGAATCTTATAATCCTACTACAAATGATGATTACGCCATAATTTTAGAAGATGATATCGAAGTTTCTCCGCTCTACTATATATGGGCAAAATACACCGTCTTAAAATATAGATATGATACTAATCGAAATTTAACCGGTAGAATGCTTGGAGTCAGCCTTTACAATACAAAACTCAATGAAATACATATGTCTGGTCGTAGGCCATTTAATCCTGCTCTCGTTTTGGAAAACACAGAATACCCTAATCAATCTCCATATCTTAGTCAAATACCTTGTAGTTGGGGTGCATTATTTTTCCCTGAAATATGGCGTGAATTTAAGTATTATTTGGCTGCTAGATTAACTGACCTTTCTGGTCCTCAACTACAGAACATAACTGTTCCAGAAAGTAGATCGAATAGATTCACAAAATCTTGGAAACGTTTCTTTATAGAGCTTGCATATCTTCGTGGATATGCAATGCTTTATCCTAATTATAAAGATTCTATTAGTTTTACCACTAATCATGCTGAGGACGGTGTTCATTTTCACTTCAAAGGAGAAAAAAAAAACACGTGGCTTCTACCATTGATGAAAGAGGATATTCTATCGGAAGGGTTACCTGGTGGTCATTTACCAAACTTTGAGGATTTACCAACTATGGACCTTTGGGGTTATGTTGTGTCGACAAGTGAATTAATTCAACGTGGACGTGAACTCCACTTAAATATTTCGAGTTGTCCTCCCAATGATCTTTATGAATTCACTTACGACCCCCAAGACTTATTATGTCCATACTCTTCAAATGATAAGAACTAATAGTTGTGGTGGATTAATATGAAATCAGTTTGATTAGATTTTGTATAATGTAAAATAGACAAGCCATCGAAAAATACAAAATTTTGGGATGCATGTTTTTAGCTTTTTGTTTTTTTAGCATTAGGAGTCAGAATTAGGGGTAGAATTTATAGTAAACAAGTATAAGTGGGTTTTAAAAGGCTAAATAAGTATCATTCATTAACGCTTTTCAATGCCTTTTAATTTTTACATGACTTGCCCGTGATTGGCAACCGGGGTTAAATCACCACTCAAAAACTTTTCAGATCATGTGATATGAACTAATTTTTTTTTATTATCATTATTGTATTCTGTTATATATCGATATATCGTTCT